AAACCTTCACCCACCCAGAGTAGGTACACACAAGAACTAGTAAATACTTGTTACTTCCACACTTTGGCATCTCTGTGAAGTCCACCTGGAGATCTTCAAAGGGGACTGTTCCATAAACTTGTATGCTGGGCGAAACGGCTAGATCTTGCCTCGCATTATACTGTTGGCAGGTAACACACAGCTGCGTCACCGTTTTGGCAAGGGCTACAAATGCGAGATGTAGAAATACGGGCCTAACAACTTTTCAAGTGACTCCTGACCTAGATTGGTGGTTTCATGCACAGCCAGTACAACTGCGGCTCCTAGCAGCTATGGCACAGCTACTCTCCCATGTGGTAACCGAATCCATTCTTCCTTCATCACTTGTCCTCCCTCTGCCTGGAGAAAGTCCTCTTCTTCTTTAGAATAAGTAGGTACAAGATCAGGTACTTGAGGGAGCAGGGGGGCTGTGACTGATGCCCAGAAGGGGGCAGATGCTGCTTTTCGAGCCTCTGAGTCAACGCGGGAATTCCCCAAACCCACCAAGGTGGAAGCTCGCTGGTGTCCTCTGCAATGCATAACTGCTACCTTGTGGGCTTTCCATACTGCTTCTAATAATTGCAGAATTTATTGTTGATATTTTATGTCCTTTCCCCCAGAGTTCAATAGGCCCTTTTCTTTATATAATGCTCCATGCACTTGAAGGGTTATAAAGGCATACCGAGAATCAGTGTAAATGTTTAGTCTTACCTTCACTGAGTTCTAAGGCCCGAATTAAAGCAGTGAGTTCAGCTTTCTGGGCTGAAGTGCCCTGGGGCTACAATCTGGCTTCAACAGTGTCCAGGGTTACCACTACATACCCTGCACATCTCTCTCCTTGTGGGTTGATGAAGCTGCTCCCATCCATGTATAGTTCCCAGTCTACTGATGCCCAAGGCTGGTCCCGGATGTCAGGTCTGCTAAACTGAGTCCAACACTTCTACACAGTCATGCTCGACAGGGGTCTGTGATACCGGGAGCAAGGTGGCAGGGTTCAGGGTGTTACAGACTTCAGTGGTTACACAGGGATTTTCACAGAGCAAACTTTGGTACTTGGTGAGTCTAGCATTCATTAGCCAATGATGTCCTTTAGTATTCATTAAGGTCACCACAGCATGGGGGGCCTTTATGTTCAGGCTTTGCCCAAGAGTCAGCTTATCTGCTTCTTGTACTAGCAGGGTAGTTGCTGCCAAGGCCCTCAAACATGGGGGCCATCCTTTAGAAATCCTGTCTAGTTGTTTAGAGAGGTAGGCCACCGGCCTCGGCCAGGGCCCCACAGTTTGGGTTAAAACTCCAAGTGCCATCTTTTCTTTCTGACACATACAATGTAAAAGGCTTTGTCAGATCGGGTAGCCCCAGGGCTGGGGCTGACAGAAGTTTTTCCTTTAACTCATGAAAGGCTTGTTGTTGTTGGGATCCCCATTCAAAAGGTTCCTGGTCCCCCGCTTTGTGACCTCATACAAAGGCTTGGCTAATGCTGCAAAGTTTGGGATCCACAGTCTGCAAAACCCCACAGCTCCTAAGAATTCTCTCACCTGCCTTCTGCTCTTAGGCTCCAGTAGATTGCAAATGACCATCCTCAGTCCAATAACCATTCTGCCAGGTTGAGCAGGGCCACTTCCTCCTTGTCTGGGACCTCCCGCTCTGAATCACCTTGTTTTCCTTTTAGCTGAAGGCATTTGTTCTCCCAATGTCCTTTTTTTTTTTTAAGTTCTGGGGTACATGTGCACAATGTGCAGGTTTGTTACATATGTATACATGTGCCATGTTGGTGTACTGCACCCATTAACTTGTCATTTACATTAGGTATATCTCCTAATGCTGTCCCTCCCTGGTTACGCTGCAAACTCTGACAACCAGGCTCAGTTTCCTTTCCAGGGCAGCCCCCCCTTCCCTTGCCTCTTTGGAGGGATCCCTCTGATTGCTGCAGCTAATAGGTCAGCATTTCGCCAGGCCTGACGTTCATTCTCTTTGCGGTTTTCTTACGGCTTACTGCATCCCTGTTTACAAACACCTGGTTAGCTATTTCTAATAACTGTGATGTATTCATCCCTGCAAACTCAGACTGTTTCTGCAGTTTTCTTCTAATGTCTTCTGTGCTTTTACTAACTAAAGCCATGTTAATCATGCACTGATTTTCAGGGCTATCGGGATCAAAGGGCGTGTACATACGATAGGCTTCACACAGTCTCACGTAGAATTGTGCTGGACTGGCCGGGCGCGGTGGCTCACGCCTGTAATCCCAACACTTTGGGAGGCCGAGACGGGTGGATCACGAGGTCAGGAGATCAACACCATCCTGGCTAACATGGTGAAACCCTGTCCCTACTAAAAATACAAAAAAAATTAGCCGAGCTTGGTGGCAGGTGCCTGTAGTCCCAGCTACTCGGGAGGCTGAGGCAGGAGAATGGTGTGAACCCAGGAGGCGGAGCTTGCAGTAAGCTGAGATGCGCCACTGCACTCCAACCTGGGCAACAGAGTGAGACTCTGTCTCAAAAAAAAAAAAAGAATTGTGCTGGACTTTTTTTCCCTGAATAACCTCAGAGACCTTGTTAACGTTTGTGGCTTTCTGGGCTCCCCTCTTTAATCCTTCCAACACAGCTTCCCTGTATCGATTCGGCCTTTGCATACCCTCTCTTTCATTTGGGTCCCACTGGGGGTCGGTTCCTGGGAACTGGGTCCTTACATACTCTTGGGGGTTTAGTAATCAGCCAGTGCATGTTCCTCTAGCCACTTAGTTGCTGCTTGAAGCACTCTCCACCTTTCATCTGTGTTAAAGAGGAACATGAGCAATTGGTGGCAGTCAGCGCAGGTGGGGTTGTGGGTCTGGATAATAGTTTGGAGCAAATCAGAGCTTGTGACTTTTCAGTATAGGGCGGGGTATTATTTTTCCAGTTGAGAAGGTCGGCAGAAGTGAAGGGCTGGTACACAAAAACATGCCTCTCCACCATGTGCCCATCCTCATCTATCCCAGTATACCGCTGCTCTCTCAGGGGCATTTGTATCCCAGTTTTGGGTCGTAAACGAGCTGCCAAGGGAGGGGTTTCTCCCGAGGCTTCACCTCCTCTCTAGTCTACTCTAGGTGGCCTAGGGATATGTTTGTCTTGCAGAGGCGCAAGCACTGTGGGCTCAAGAGTCGGGAGCCTCTCTCCCTGGTAAGGGGAGGGCACCGCTGGGATCACTGGTGCCATCTCCTGCAATGGATCTTCTGATGTTGGGTCGAACAGAACTTGCAGGCGTTGATTTCCCTTGGTGGGTGGAGTGGGATCCTTCCTTGGCTATCTGTCTCTTTGCTACTAGCACTGCTGCTGCCTGCCCTCTTAGCCACTGTGGGGGATCTAGCATCAGTTGTAACCAAGTATCTATGTATGGGAATTGGTCTGAGTATCCTGACTCACCAGTTACCTTGTGCCATACCTTAGAAACAAGAGACCTGTCCAGGCTTCCTTCTGATGGCCAACCCACTTCTAATGTTGGCCAATCTATTTCACACAAAGTTCTAAGTTTTCCTGGTGTCATAGTAACCCCATAGTCTCCACTAAATCCTTCCTTGAAATTTTTCAACATAGTTCCTAGCGGACTGGGCATACTTTGTGTCTGATCCATGTTTCCTCGAGACAAAACACCATGCTCACACCACACACACACCACAGAACAAAGAACAGGTAAAAAGGGCACCCACAACTTTTTCAGTTTACACCAAACCAGAATCAAAACCAAAATCAGAGTATCCAGAAATCCAAGCCAGGTCAAAACCAAAATATCAAGCAATTCAAGTCAACTCAAAAACCAAAGTGCCGGTACAGGCACGCCATGGGTGATCAGGCCACGCTTCCGCTCAAATGGAGTGGGCAAGTTCCAAAGACCAGTCTTACCAAGTTTCAGATGTCCAGACTTAAAGTGCCAGTTCCTTCCCCGTGTTCAGCCACTGCGCTGATCCTCTGTGGGGGCCTGCTGTGCACTGCTCTGACAAGGCGTTCCACCCGGGCAATTGCCTACCCAGGAGCTCTCTCAGGATCCGCGTCGCTCAAGCTGGCCAGAGTCCCCCGCAGGGTTGTTCCACAGGGCAGGCCTAAGCAGCAGCTTCGACCGTCTGTTAATCACCTCGCCTCCCAGTCAGGTGAACCAAGAAATGTAGCAGGACAAGCTGCAGACAAAACTCCTCAGACACCGGATTAAAAAAGGAAGAGGTTTATTTTTTCGGCCGGGAGCTCGGCAGCCGAGCTCTCCGAAGACAGCGTTCCTGGCCCTTTTAAGGGCTTACAGGGGGTTCCATGTGAAAGGGTTGTGATAGATTGAGAGCACATGTGGTTAGAGTGGGGGGTTAATCTTTTAACCCCAGGCCTGGTCATCAGCGGCACCGGCTGGTCTTGCCACTGACTTCATTCCTGTTGTTTTTCAACTTTTCGTTTCTCCTCTTCAGAGACAGGAGACAGTAAGAGAAATGGCTTCTCTCCTCAGGGGCATGCTGGCTAATCTGACTTGGCAAGATTCTTGGCTAAGACTGGGTTGGGCAGGCAGAAGTCAGGACTGGGGTTGGGGCCAAGGTCGAGGATGCGGCTCAGAGGAACCTGACGAAAGTTTGGTCAAGGAGAGTCTTGGTCAGGAGCCTCCGTTTCCACAGCTAACCCAGGCTGGTGTCTGCTGTCACGTGAGAGCGTGGGGAGGCAAGGACTTCTCCGACAAATGCCAAGATGGGATGTTGCCAGCTGCCCAGCTGTGCCCTTCTTCTCTAGGGCTGCTTCAGAAACAAGAAGGAGGTATGCTAGCAGACCCCAGCCGCACCTTCCAGTGGCCCAGAAGGTGGCTCATCACTGCTCCCCAGAAGGAAATCCTTGGCCTCGCCCCAAGGAGCTATTCTCGGTTTTATAGGCATGAATCTGCCATAGCGAGGGAGGCATCCCTGTTGTCCATCTCAAGGACTCACTGCAGCTACACATGTGGATCACCCAGGGAGCTTCTTAAAAAAACACCAGTTCATGGTCCTTTTGTAGTTCATTAACGTGATGACTGGGTTTCCATGCACATGTGTGAGCTGGGCCTCCCTCAAACCTTGTTGTGTCATTGGCACATTACCTGTCCAATGAAAAGGAATAAAAATACCAGTGTGGGCCATGCCCCAGGGATTCTGATTAGATTAGCCTGAGCTGGCGTGTAGACAGTGGTATGCTTACAACTTCACACTTCCACACTCCCCTCCTCTACCCCTCAACTCCCCCCATGATCTGACACATCTGACACCTGTGAGGGCCTTTTCTGTTAACTGAGCAACTCATAGATGCCTCCCGGGGCCAGAGCAATGGGATATAAACCATTTCTAAGGCTGAGGAAGTGCCACAGGAAGGCAGCAGAGTAGTTTACAGCCTCTCGACTCAAGGTGTGGTCCTCAGACCAGCAGCCTCACCTGGGAGCTTGTTAGTGATGCGGTCTCCCGCCCACCCGAGGCCCATTGAGACAGGGCCTGTGAGCTGCCGAGCCCTTCGGGTGACTGAAGGGCACAGTAGGGTTTGTGGTGCACTGGACAGGGCTTGGCTGTGTGACCTCTCCATGCTGCCTCATGTTTCTGGACTGTATTAGTACTTTTTTTTTTTTTTTTGAGACAGTCTTACACTGTCACCCAGGCTGGAGTGTAGTGGCACAGTCAAGCCTCACTGCAGCCTCGACCTCCCTGGGCTCAAGTGGTGCTCTTGCCTCAGCCTCCTGAGTAACTGAGACTACAGGCGCACGCCACCATGCCTGGCCAATTTTTTTGTATTTGTGGTAGGCACAGAGTCTCACTATGTTGCCCAGGCTGGTCTCAAACTCCTGGGTTCAAGAGATCCACCCGCCTCGGCCTCCCAAAGTGCTGGGATTACAGGCATGAGCCACCACACCCGGCCATCTTTCTGGTATGTTAAAGGAAGATATTTTAATACTACCACCAACTTCTTAGGGCTGTTGTGAGGATTAAGTATATTAATACGTGTTAAAAAGCAGTTAGAACAGGCCTGGCACGCCTATCCGAAGTGCTGTATAAACTATGATTGTGATGATCGTTTGGGGGATGGGGCCCATGCTTCTAAGCTGTCTGCAGCCCTGGTGCATTTCCACAGGCGCAGGCTTAGCCCGGGTGCTTTACAATCCACTTTTATTTACCAGTGACTCCGATGTCCCAGCTTTCTGCCAGCCGCAGTAAATCACCTGGCCTACTGGGCTTCCTCCAGAAGGTCCCTGCCTGTCTCGGCCGGCACAGAGCTAGATTGCGTGTGCACCTGCCCTGCCCCTCCTCTGTCCACCACCAGGCCCCCAGGATCAAGCAGCCTCTGGAGGGAGGGGTGCCCAGGCTTGGCTCTGGGAGCAGCCCTCGCCCTGTGTACTGCTTTCACCGCGAGGCGATCCCTTCCCAGCTGCAGGCACTTGGCATTCTGAGCCCTGCAACGATGCTTTATGGCCTCTCTCCAACTGCTGGCAGGTGCAGATGTAGTACCTGCGGCTGCCCGGAGCTCCTGGCTCTTGGCATCGGAGATGAGAGACCTGTCACCCCTCGATTCATGGGCCGGGTTTGGGAAGCGAGCATGCTGGGGCGTTTCTGCATTTTGCGGGCCATTTTTCTTTGCCTCATTCCTCATCCCAGCCACCCACCTCCCCAGCTCTTTCTTCCTCTCTTCCTGATTTCCCTTCGAGAGGCTGCCTGTCTGCCCTGTCACCTGACGGCCACTTTGGGGGAAGGAGGAGGAGAGTCAAATGGTCCTGTCTCTAGCCACCACCTGCAACTCAATTAGCTGTGGGTCTAGATGTTTATTCTTTCCTGTACTTTCCTTTGAACATTTTCTGGGGATGAATACCATTTGATGGGGAGCAAGACCCAGGAGGAGGGTTTACCCAGACACCCCCTCCCCCAAATTATGTCACTTTCAAGGTCAGTGGGCTCATTTCCTTCTGCCTGGACAAATGTGGGGATGCCTTAGTATCCTGCTCACTCTGCCCTCCTGTCTCTATTCTCTGGAGTAAGAACCTCCAATAAATCTATCACAGGCCTGCTGGCCCAGGGCCAAACAAAATTAGAGCATAAATGAGGAAGAATTGATAAGAAAAGATGGCACAGGGGCCTGCAACAGCTGGCATTGCCTGAGCCCGACTCTGGGCCCACCATGCTGGCAGGGGTATTGCATGTGCTGTTTCTCATTAGCCCTGCAATGCAAGTCTTTGTAACCCTTTTCTTAAGACAAAAACCAGAGGCTCAGAGAGGCTAGGTAACCTGCCTGAGATCACACAGCTAGAAAGAGCTATAGAGAATTTTATGGGGCATTGAGGTGGATAGATGATTACAGACTCATTCATACTCAGAGAGTGGTATGTAGGGTATATCCTGGAGATGCCCCACCCCCCACCCCCCACACTTTGACTCCACCAAACACCATCTTCCTTCCTTTGGAGAGCCTGCCCTTGGTCTGGCCTCCTTTTCCAGCCTGAAACCACAGGTGCCTGTGTTCTACCCCTGGGTCCTGGACCCAGCATCCCTTCTCCCTTCCCCACCTGACCTGTTTAGCTGGAGGTCCTCCCCAGCTCTGGGGTTGTAAGCCATCCCCTGCCCTGTGGGGCCTCCTCACCCTTCCCCAGGCTCTCCTGCAGGCCTGTATTGGCTGCCCTTGGCCTAGAACAGAACAGTGAGCTGAACAAGCCCCACTTACTGCACCGGAGAGAAGAGTGTCTGCACCTTCTCTTGGCCATTCCTTGTTGCAAGGCCCCCACAGTCACTCTCCACACCTTCCTTCCTGTGTACCTCGGTCTGCCCAGGGACTCCTCTCTGAGGGACTGCAGGACACGGCCAGGTCATGGGTGGGACCTACAGCCCGACTTGGTGTCAGCAGGGCTGGGACCTGGGCCAGGCACTCTACTGATGCCCCTGTCCATCTCCCCATCTGACCAGGAGGCACCCCACCACTCAGTCCCGGGGGTGAGGCAGGAGACAGAATCATCTCGTCTCCGGGCACGTCCCCTGAAGCCACCTCTCTGAGTTAGGGGCTCCACGTCTGGGTCTTCAGAGCAGCATCATACTTCCCCATCACATCCTGCCCTATAGCTCACGGAGACCGAGCGCTGGCTGGGTGGGAGCCGCGGCTCTCAGCACTTTGCCTGCATTATCTCATGCAGCCCCACAGCACCCCTGTAGGTCAGGAACTGTTATCATCCACCATGACAGATGAGGAGGCCTCCCCCGCCAGTGAATAAAACTCTCTTACTTTACATCCTGTGCCCCTGGCACACCTGGCATGGCACCCAACACATAATAGCACATAAATATTTGTCACATTAGTTATCATAAGGCTGAGAAGGAAGGCTCCACAACCCAATCCATGGGAGTGATGCCGTGGCTCTGCAAGGGAGCAGAAGAAGCTCTGGGAGTCACAGTGGCTACCAGTAAAGGAGTTCTGATCTTTCAGGTGTGTTGGCATAGACATGAAGTGGGGTTCCTGCCATAGGGAAGGTAGCCAGGTTGTCCTGGTTCAGCAAGTAGGGGACATAGGGCATCCCCTCCCCTTATTTCCAGTCCCTTAGTTCTGGTCCAGTCTCTCAGCCCTGCAAAGCAGCAAGGCTGATCTGCCCTTGAAGTGCGGACCTCCTAGTCCAAGGAGGAAGTGTTCAAAGGAAGCAGGATGAGCTTATGTGGAGAAGAGGAAGCTGGAGGACAGGTTATCAGAGGTTACCAAGTCCCTGCCGTGCAGCCTGTACCCACCTCCCACTTGACCTGCCATCTTCCTTCCACATGACATCCTGGTGAGTTAGGTACTGTCATCCCAGTTGCCAAATGAAATCAAGGCTCACAGACTTTAGGCCACTGACCCACGGTCACTTGCTAGCAAGTGATAGAACTGCAGAGCCCATGCTTATAACCAGCGTGTTCTCCAAGCTATCTGTCTACCTTGGCGCTCTCAGCCCTTGCTGCACATTGGGATCACCTGGGAAGCTTTTAGAAAATACCCCACCGGCGTGCGCCTGTAATCCCAGCTACCCAGGAGGCTGAGGCAGGAGAATCACTGGAACCTGGAAGGCAGAGGCTGCAGTGAACCGAGATCATGCCAGTGCACTCCAGCCTGGGCAACAGAGCAAGAATCTGTCTCAAAAGAGAAAAGAACAGAAAAGAAAATACCCCACATCCCACGTGTTCCACTCACCCAATTCTAATTCCTTCTAAGGGGCCTGGGCACAAGCGTTTTAAGTTCTCCAGATAAGGCTAATGTGTAGCCAGATAACCATGATCCAGGCCAGGCATGGTGGTGTGTACCTGTAGTCCCAGCTACTCAGGAGGCTGAGATGGGAGAACAGAACAGTGAGCTTGAGCCTAGGAGTTCGTGACCAGACTTGGCAACATAGTGAAACCCCAGTCTCAAAACAAAAAGGACTATGATTCAAGTAAAACGTTACCACATAGGGGGAAGAAGCAGCTGTCCTCTGCCTCCACTAGAGTACCCATTAACCCATTAAACAAGCAAAGGCTACATCATGAGAGACTTAGGTGAGCCTTCTGGGAGAACTTCCTGCCATGCAAGTCAAGTTGTCAAACCTAGCAGTGAAGGGGACAGTTTCCCCCTTGGAGAATTAGGGCCACCATCCTGCGGGAAGTGCAAGGAGGTGGCCTAGTCTACCTTAGAGTATGGGGTTCCTCATGGGACTCCCTACAAATGTAGGTGGTTGGAGGGTTCGGTGCTTGTCTAACGGAAATGCCCTGGGCTTGAGCTGCACCCGCGAGCCCACAGTTCCACGCCAACCAGTGGCGGCCCCTGGAGGAGCCTTTACCCTTTCTCTTGGTAATGCTCCCCTTTGCTGGGCCAGGGGGCCAAGGGCTGTAGTTAGGAGATGGGGGCTCCACAGCCACCCTCCTCTTCCTTCCAATTTCCCAGGCTCCTGGAAAAGGAGTGATAGGGCCAACTGGGCTCAATGTGGGCATCCTACACCTGGGGTGGCACAAAGCAAGAGCAAGTGAAACTGGAGAGCAGAAGAGAGGCAGTCCTGAGGCCCTGACCCAGCTGGGTAACCTCTCTGTGCTGTATCAGGGAGTGGAGGCTCCCTGTTCCCAGAGGTTTAAGAGTCATAAGACAACTGTTT